ATAGATATAGATATAGATATAGATATAGATATAGATAGATCTTTGGTAATTCAGGATTTTTTCTTGCGTAAAATTGGAAGTATCTAGGTGACGTTTCGATGAAGTCTCACTCATCATCTTCAGGCTTGTGTCTTTGGCTTTGTGCTTCTTGGAAAAGAGAAGCACAAAGAGAACTCCAAGAAGCACAAAGCCAAAGACACAAGCCTGAAGATGATGAATGAGACTTCATCGAAACGTTGCCTAGATACTTCCAATTTTACACGGGAGAAAACCCAAATAACCAAAGATCCACATACAAATACCCTTGAAAACCTCAGAAATATATATATATATCATGGTAAATATATTGCTGAGCTTTGACCACAAAAAAGTATATTCAGCAATCTTTCCCCTGAGATGGCAGGGCAATAACAATAAGTGAACATAAAAGTATAATCCAAGATTATAAATCTACAGTAACTCTATTTTTCTAGTGATGAATTATTTCCTTTCCTCCCCATCAAGCCTAATAATTTTTAGATAATTCTTCTAAATGACAAGTATAGCATATAAAGGCAATTTCTCTGAACAGCAGTGGTCTGCAAAATATTTAACAGCTTTTTATATATCAAAATAGAATATTCATTGAATAAGCCCTGTTCATGTGAGGAAGTGTTTCCTCAATCAAATCCAACTTACACATCCAACCCAACCTACCCATCCATGGGATGAACTAACAGTAACAGAGTTGGAAGGGAATATGGAGGTCTTTTAGTCCTTTCTCAAGCAGGGGATCCTATACCATTTTAGACAAATAGTTGTTCAGTCCTTTCTTAAAAGCCTCCAGTGTTGGAGTATTCACAACTTCTGAAGACAAGCTGTTCCACTGGTTGCACTGATGATGTTACCTAGTTAGATAATGAAAAGTCTGCAAGAAAACAGCCAAGCTCAGAAGGACCTGACAGTTCAACCCTTGGGCTAGAAATATTCTCTTCTGTTGGTACACAAAGAATGGCATCAACTCTGAGTTTGAGAATCAGAATAAATTGCCTCTTTTCTTCAGCTTCCTAGAGAAAAAAATGTTGGCTATTGAAAACCAACGTGATGAGGAGCTACAGGGCCTGAGGACTGAGAAGATGGAAATGCAGAATCTACTTTCCAAGCAGGTGGACCTTGTTGGGCATCTGGAGCAACGCCTGGGTGTTGCCTTGCTGAACAACACAGCCCTCCACAAACAACAAACATCTTTGGCAGAGACAGTGAAGCATCTGATAGGATTGGTGTCCCAGTGCAACCGTAAGTAACTTCCCCTAAATTACAAGACTTGGCCATCTGGCCCAATTGGAATTTAAAGTCTGAAGAGAAGAAGCAGGACAACACTAGCATCAAGTAGAGTGTCTTTTTGCAGAAAAATCCATGACAAAGTGGCTAAGAGATCCCCAGTCTTTATAAAATATAAGCAATATGTAGATCTTTCCATTCTTTGTTAGCACTCCCTAAAATGTGGAGTCCTTAGTGCTCTCTGAGCTGGGATGTTTTCTCACAGACATTTCATTACCCAACTAGGAAACATCTTCAGATGGTTGGGCAATGAAACATGCATAAGAAAACAGCCAAGTTCAGAGAGCACCAAGGACTTCACAGTTGAACACTCAGCTATAAATATCCTCTTCTATTCATACTTCCTAAACTCTCTAAATGACCTCACAAGTCACATGGGCATTCCAAGAATCAGCAGCCGTAAACAAATTGAGTTTGGGGTCTACAGCATCTCAGGGTCTATTCTAAGGGGCGTGCTTAAGTGCACCATCGTGCCTCCCGTCCCTGTCCTATTGTCCCCATTTATTCGTACCTATTTCCTGTATTCTTGCTCATGTTTATACTTATACCTATTATCTTGTAAGTGATTGACAAATCAAATAAATAAATAAATATTTGAAAAACTATCCTGTTTCTCACAAATTAAGGCCGGGCCTTATTTTTTTTGAGCCCCGAAAAAACGGCTAGGCTGCCTTTCTAGGGTTGAATTAATTTCCTCCCCCCACGCCTCCCCCCACCAAGACCGCCCCACGTGCACTCACCTCACCACGAGGCCGCTTCTATCGGCTGAGGGCAGAGTCACCAGCTGCTTCTATCGGCTGATAGAAGTGGCCTTGTGGAGCACCCCGCGAGTAGCCACTCCTCACGAGGCCGCTTTTATCGGCCGATAGAAGCGGCCTTGTGGAGCGCCCAATGAGCAGCGACTCCTCACCACAAGGCCACTTCTACCGGCCAATAAAAGTGGCTGGTGACTCTGCCTTGAGAGCACTTCTATCAGCCAATAGAAGTGGCCTCGTGGCGAGGCGATTCTGCCCGCGGGACACTTTTATCAGCCGATGGAGGCAAGTCTGCCTGCGGGGTGCTCTAGCTGAGGTTACCTGCAGGGGGCTCCTAAAGGCAAGTTTCCCCCTCCCCGCCCTTTCCCCCCATTTCTCTTCACCTTGTATAGTTCAAGCGATGTGAGAAATGATGGGGAACGCATGGTTTAAATAGGCCTAAATTTTGGGGGAGGGGCTTAATTTTACCTTATGCCTAGAAAACATGCTGGGCCTTCCTATGGGGGGAGGGCGTATTGTCAGAGAAACATGGTATTTGCCTCATCGGAAACCCTCCATCTGCTCTGCAAGGTCTCTGGCGCACGTTTTATTACAGAGAGGATGAATTCAGCCTTACAACAATGTAACTGATGAACATTCCTACCCTAAGAGGGCAACTGTACTGAAAATGACTTTTGATCTTGCCCCACAGATGTTTCTTTCACTCTGCCAGAGGAGCAGAAGGTCTTCAAGGATTGTGCAGCTGCATACAAAGCGGGGTTTTCTACCAGTGGAGTCTACAACCTTCGGCTCCCCAATACTACAGCCACTGTAAAAGTGAGTGTATGCATGTACCAATGAGCTTTGTCCTTCTAGACAGGCAGGGTTCACACATCAGACTAAGCCACAGTATTCTTAAGCACAATTGGTTGAATGCACTCTTATATACAGATAGTCCTTGACTTATCACCATTCATTTAGCAATCATTCAAAGTTATAACAGCACTGAAAAAAAGTGACTCATGATTGGTCCTGGTGCTTACAACCATCTCAGCCTTCCAATGGTCATGTGATCAAAATTCAGGCACTTGGCAACTGACATGAACTTACATAAGTTGCAGTGTGCTGAGGTCATGTGATTACCACTTGGGATCTTCCGGCAAGCGAGGTCAACGGGAGAAGCCGGATTCACCTACCAAATAGTCATTCACTTAACAGCCAAGGCAAAAAAGATTGTAAAATTGGTCACCACTGACTTAACAGTTGCCTCACTTAGCAACAGAAATCCTGATCCCAACTATAGTCATTAGTTCAGGTCTATAATGACCCAGAATATAACACAAATGTAACAAAATCCAAAATGTAAATAAATGTCCTTTAATGCCTCCAACTTGCCCCCCCCCCTTCAACAATTCTCAGTTGGAGATAAAACTTACTGAAAAATAGTCTTCAAAAGAAAGCAAGACAGTCCAAACTTAATGAGCATATAGAGGTGAAATAAAAAAAATCAAACAAACTACAATGACAAAATTTCCACAATGGACCAGAATAAGTAATCACCAAATTCAAGGAGATAACAAGGCACAGTATGTTGGAAGGACGCCAACTAAGATAAAGCCCAAAATAAAACATGCTTTGCTTCTGGCAAGGCTGTGTTGTAATCGTCTCTCTTATATACCAGTCTCCCCAGCTGCAACCAATGAGGAGGATCATGGCCACTTCCTCTCTCATAAGCCAAGTTGTTTCCTTCTTCGTTCCTCTCTGCGTGTCCTAGGATGCAGAGGGGGTGGGCCTGGTTCTTCCTCTGACTGTCCAGCTGGCCTTTGCCCTTCCCCAGCCTCCTTCACACCCTCTGGAGCCACACCTCCACTCCCTGTTGGCTGTTCCTCCTCTCCCTCACAGTCCAACTCTACCAAAGGCATGACAGATCTACCTATAAAGCTAACTTACAATGGCTGTGCCCACATGTCACATTAAGCCTTTATGTGATCTGTTTAATGTTGACTTTATGCGAAGAATGAAACCAGGCATAAACCAAGATTTAATTTGGTCCATAGTTTATGTTGCTTCACTTATAACCATTAAGTATAAACATCATATTTAGGTTTTAGATAATGTATAGATCTACTCATTATATAAAGCAATAATAGGCAAAACAAGCCCATGAACAATTGCATATAATTGGTATAATCAATTATAGGAATAATAAGTAATTGAATAGCATTAAAAGCTTCCAAATATGAAATAAGTTTCATCTACAAAAAACAAATTCCATAATTTGAGCACTACCACTAAGACCTATGCCTGTTTCTGATCCTCCCAAGAATGATGCTAGCACATAACTTAGTCAATTGAAAGGAAAAAGGAGATTGTACTTTAAATTTAAAGACTAAAATGTCTTAAAATTAAAGATAGTATTCTTTTTTTTTCAAATTAAATCTAGAAGAAAACGGATAGTGGAGTTGTGCTCAACCAGTTGTTTCTTATAATTTGGGGAAGCTGCTCTTCCATCAATGTTCTGCCATTCTTCCAGGTGCTGTGTGACATGCAGACAAGTGGAGGAGGCTGGACCGTTATCCAACACCGGAAAGATGGTTCTGTGGATTTCCAACGCACCTGGAAGGAATACAAACAGGTAACAATTTATATAAGTCTCCCCGGCTTAACGTGATGGAGCAACTCAGAATGAATTGGATCCAGACTGATTATTTTGCACATTGAAAATGAGGTGATTTGGAGAAAATTGAGTAAGAAGCATTCTTTCTGTTTTCTACGTGCAAGCAGAAAAATCCATCATTTGAACTTCTACTACTGCAATCAGTAGGAATAGAGCTCCGTCACAACAAGTGCTGGACTTCTGTTCATTTTCTGCTGAAACTAGTCAAAGCTTTTGTGACTCTGAGCCAGGCTGGTTCTAGGCTGGCACTTAAGCCACCAGGTTTTCTTTAGCTTGTGGCACTGAGATCTTGCAGACTCCAACTTCCAGTGCCTCTTACCTTTAACCATGTTGTCTGGCAAACCTATCCAGCAACACCTGGAAACCTGTTCTGATCAAGGCTTCCTGAGACACCCACAAACACACATAAAATCCCAAACTCTTTTATTTTAGTTCAATGGCTGTGAATGATCGTCATTCACAGCCCGGAGTGAGCTTCAACCAGTTATAAATAGTCCCAGGAATGTCTGCCAAAGGTCTGTGGAAGAAAGCTGATAAGAATGCACCTTATCTGACTTGGTGCTGCCAACGGCTAAAGTCCCAATTAGTCTTTCAAAACCAAAACAGAGAACAAATTAAACATGGAGCTTTCAGAGTCCAAACCAATCAGAGCGAACAACGTTGCTTCCTGCAAAGGTTTTCCTACCTTTGCACTTCCTTTATACCTTAGGGGAGGACCAGTCACCTCCAAGCCTTACTCCCAAGTCACCCCTTTTGTCTTAGCTGCTCTTGCCTTCTGGCAGCTCTGCACACACGCGCACTGGGAACAGGCTCCCCTTGTTCCTCGGCCTCTCTGCTGCCGGATTCTGGAGGCTCTGGAGTCAGCACATAACTCCCGAACGGTCCTGGCCCCATCTCTGCATCGGATGCAGGACCCTCGTCCGAGTCCTCCCCAGACTCCCAAACTGGTCCCTGTTCTTCCCCACTGTCCGATTCTGCTGCTGTCACGAACCACAACAAAACCAACCAACTTCTTATCCCAGTGAAGTCTGTGCTAAATATAATTGAAGTGGCTGCTAGAATGATGACAGACTCCACCAACCTACCCTTCTCTGCTTTCAACCCATTCATCTTTCTGGTTATCAAATTGATGATCTATTCTCACTGTGTGCCTTTGTCATTATTTTATTGTTCTACTAGCTCGATACCCATGCTTCGCTACAAAACTATGTGGTCGGGCTTATTTTGGGGGGAGGAAAATAAGGGGAGGGAAATTCTTCCTCTGCCTACCAACATCCATCAGTATTCATCTGGCTAGCATCCTGTCAGTGTGTGAGAGAGTTGAGGGCTGTTTAGAAACGGAAACAGTATTTGCTATGTGAGCAAGAAGGAGACAGCAAAGAGCCTGGGCGTGGCTTAGCTCAACTGTTCTGTACTAAAGTTGGTTGCCGCTGTGAAACTGAAACCAAAACTCCTCTTCTCCACTTGTGTTTTGCATTTGGAACAGATTTCTTTTCTGGAGGGAGAGGATTAGAACTTCTTAGCATCAGAGCGTGTTAATAATAATATAGGAAATACAAATGCTCTGATGGTCATTTCAAAAAATCCTTACTTAGTGAGCACCTAGAAGCTAAGAGGAACATAATGTGCCAAATGTAAAGTTTGTAGGCTTTGCAGTTCTGGAGATTTTGTGATGATGCGTGAGTGGCACTTCACTTTTATATATAGACATTATTTTACTTCTACAGGTAGTCCTCGACTTACGATCCTAATTGAGCCCAACATTTCTGTTGCTCAGTGAAACATTTGTTATGTGAGCTTTGCCCCATTTTACAACATTTCCTGCCACAGCTGTTAAGTGAATCACTGCAGTTGCTAAGCTAGTAATATGGTCGTTAAGTGAATCTGCCTCCCTGACTAACTTTGCTTGTCAGAAGGTCACAAAAGAGAATCACATGAGCCCAGGACGCTGCAACTGTCATAAATATGAGTCAGTTGTCAAGCTTCCACATGACCATGGAGATGCTGCAACAGTCATATGTGTGAAAAACGGTCATAAGTCACTTTTAATTTTGAACATTCAGTAAAAGAACTGTAAGTTGAGGACTATCCATATTCCTTTCATTTGTCTTCCTTTTTATTATTGTAAACCACATAGAGTTGTCCCACAGTGAACTAGATAGCAAATATTTGAAAACTTGGATCTCTTACCTGCTTCTTACAAAATAACTGGAATTAGGATACTACAAAATAGAGACTTCGGAAAGTGAAAGTGAAATTTGGAAACAAAAGGAAATTGCGGAAGTGTTTGGGGGTTTTGAACTACAACTTTAATTAATGGATATTGAAAAGTGGAATTAATCTGGAAATCTCTGGAGGAATCAAAAAAGAGTTAACCGTTGGAAAAACTTTAATAAGCATTGTTTAAAGATGGCAGGGATGTTACTGGACAAATTGGAACTTAAAAACATGAAAGACGTGCTACAAAAAGAAGGCAAGTCATTTGGTTTCGCATTGCAATTTTTGGAAATGGAGGTTTTAAAATATCAAGAACAAGAAGAGAAATCAATGCAAGAAGCGGCCACCTTAAATGAACACTTGAAACAACGGAAACTTCAGCAAAGGAGGAATAGAAAGAGAATTAATAATAGGAGGTTTAACATCATAATTAAAAGGGGGTTTATTCCAAAAACTGAACAAAAGAAAAGGAAACATCAGGAAAGGAAATTTCAAAGTAATGGAAAAGAAGGGGGATAGAAATTGGAGTGATAAAAAGAGGGTAAGAATGAAACAGGATTTGGAAAGAAAGGAATATGGCAAGCACACAAAAATGAAATGGGTTTTTTAATTAAAAGGTACAGAGATAATGGCTGACTGAGAAGGGGATTCTACAAGTGTATAAGGACTAGTTTAAATAAATAAGAAGTTTAGAAAACAGTGAAATATAGATTATTAAAATGGGAGATAGGGACTGATATTGTTCTGCCATTGTTGTGACTGTTTGCTTTTTCTTCTTTATGATATGAAATTAAGAGAGGTAACTAGAATAAAGATATTAATAATATTAAATGAATTAATAAGTTGTGGCAAACAGCAGGAGTAATGTTAAAGGGAAAACAATATTAGTTCTTATGAAATGGTGGGATTGATTATGTCTGTTTTATCTATAACTTACTTAATTTATATATATATATATATATATTAGGTAATAAGAAAGGGAATTTGCAGACCCAGTTTTAAAAGAGGTGTATGTAATGTAGAAATTACTAGAAAGTTATTATTGTGTCTTTTTTTCTTTTTTAAAGTGTGAATTCAAAGTTAAATTATGAGAATCTTAGGCGGGATTAATTATGTGATATGTTTAACCACAGGGATGGCACCTCGAAATTGGCAGTAATAGGGGTGTTGCATTGTTGCTGTTATTTTACCTTACGTGTGGAAATGTGTGAATTTTTGGAATGATGAATAAATATAGATAAGTAAATTGCAGACTTGACAGAAAAGAAGATAAAATACAGTATAATGAATATGAAGATATATAATGGTGTATTAAGGATTTAAAGAAATAGATTAAGCAATGTACTGGAAAAATTATAAAATAAGATGGGAAAAGCTTGTTGATTAAAATTAAAGAAAATAGATAAAGTAAGATTTAGATAAGTCATTAAATGTGAAAGATGAATAGGAAATGAAAGTGAAGTTTGTAATGGAAATGTGTTAACCTGGAATCATGCTGTTCATTGAAAAAAGATTTTTTTTTTCCTGTAGTATGTGAAAATTGAATAAAACTTTTTTGGGAAAAAAGGTATTTTGTACTGGCCCTTTTAAGCAGGTGTGGTGGTCTAGAGGTGGAGCTCTTGCCTCATAATAAGAAGGCTATGAGTTCGATCCCAGGTAGAGGCTGATATTTGGAATAGACTCCTCCTCAAGCAATGGGGTTGGACTAGATGACCTCCAAGGTCCCTTCCAACTCTGTTATTCCATGTTATTCTATTCTATTCAGTGTCTTCTCATGCTTTCTGACAGGGCTTTGGGTCCCCACCTGGAGAGTACTGGTTGGGCAATCACTTCATCCATCTGCTCACCACACAGAACCGCTACTCTCTACGGATCATGCTCCAGGACTGGGAAAACAATGAGGCTTATTCTGACTTTGAGCATTTCCAAGTGGGCTCTGAGACGCAGAACTATCGGTGAGGCTTTTCATGGAACATCTGTGGTCTCTTTGCTTAGTTGTTCTGAACAAGCTGAAACCTGGAATCCTGCTCTGACAGATGGGTGATCTTCCACTCCTAAAATTTCCCAAGGCCACTGCTGAGAATTCTGGGATTGTCATACCGGGAGATCACTCCATAAGAAGGTCATTTGGCGAGCCTATAAGATTTGGGCCAAGTGTAATTTACAAAAATTCTGTAAGATGGGTTGTCTTGATGATTGTGAATTATCTGTTTCCAACCCTTGCACAATTTCAATCTCTCTCTGTCTCTGTGTCTCTGTTTCTCTGTCTCTGTTTTTTTTTCTCTCTCTCTCTATCCCTCTGTCTCTGTCTGTCTCTGTCTGTCTGTCTCTCTCTGCCTCTCTCTGTCTCTGTCCCTCTCTCTGTGTCTCTCTCTTTCTGCCTCTCTCTGTGTGTCTCTCTGTCTCTGTCGCTCTGTCTCTGTCTCTCTCTGCCTCTCTCTGCCTCCCTCTGTGTCTGTCTCTCTCTGTCTCTGTTTCTGTTTTCTTTCTCTCTCTCTCTTCTCTGTGTCTCTCTCTGCCTCTCTCTGTGTCTCTCTGTCTGTCTCTGTGTCTCTGTCTTTCTCTGTTTCTCTGTCTCTCTCTCTCTCTGTTTCTCTCTCTCTCTGTGTGTGTGTGTCTGTCTCTGGTTCTCTGTCTCTGTCTCTGTCTCCCTGTCTTTCTCTCTCTGTGTGTTTGTATAGGATTTGGTTTCTACAGGGCAAGGCCTCAAAATCAGATAGCAGTTGAGAAGTTATTTGAAGCTTGAATTCCAAACCTTCTCACTGTTCCAGCAACTAATCTGGGTGGAAACCAACATGGAATTTCCCATGCTAGATAGACCAATATTGTACCCTCAATGCTGGCTGGGACTTGGGATAATTGTAATCTGTCATGCCAGGGGAACAGCAGTGGGGAGGGCTGTTGGAGCCCAGCTGCACAAGAGAAGAGAAGAAAGGAGGAAAAAAAAAACAATTGTCTCTCTAAAACAATGTTTTTCAGCCCTAGTAGCTTTGTGATGTGTGGCCTTCAATTCCCAGAATTCCCCAGCCAGTCTGTATTCTGGGAGTTGAAGTTCACACATCCTAAGGTTGCCTTACAGGTCGATTTCATTGGCAGCAATCTGAGCCGAGATCTCACCTAGGAAGTTCCTAAAATAAAATGAAATTCTAATCTTCTTCCAAGTTACAACAGTTCACTTAGTGACCTTTCAACATTACAATGGCACTGAAAAAAATGACTTATGACCTTTTTTCACACCTAATGCCGTTGCAGCATCCCCACAGATTTACATTTGGATGCTTGACAACTGACTCACACTTATGACGGTTCCAGTGTCCCAGGATGATAGGATCCCCTTCTGACAAGCAAAGTCAATGGGGAAAACTTACTAATGCAGTGATTCACTTAACAACTATGGCAAGAAAAATCGTAAAATGGGGCAAAACTCACTTAATAAATACCTCACTTAGCAACATCAATTTCGGGCTCAATTGTGGTCATAAATTGAGGACCACCAGTAATCTTGACCTCCTGCAGAACTGCCTAGCTCTGTTCTTTTGGCTTTCAGCTGATCAGGATGGAGAATCATCTCTAGCAGAAGTTAAAACACAAGCTAAATCTGGCTAAGCCCCTCCTTTTCTAAAAGCCCACCTAAGAGGGCAGCTTTCTTGCTCCCAATGGGTACCTCCCCGTTTATTCTTCAACGGCCGTCTCGTTTGTCCATTCATCTGGATTAACCATTCAGCTGTTTCTTTAATTCTTTCACTTTTTTCCATCCGCTGAATGTCTCCCAATTCCTATACAAGCAAAACAGCAAATACAGACTGTCCTCAACTTAGGACTACAACTGAGCCCAAAATTTGGGTTGACAGTGCGTTTTAGACAGCGTTAAGTGAGTTTTGTCCCATTTTGCAACCTTTCTTGCCACCAGTTGTTAAGTGAATCACTGCAGCTGTTAAGTTAGTAACACGGTTGTTAAGCGAATCCAGATTCCCCATTTTGCTTGTCAGAAGGTCGTAAAAGTGGACCGCATGATCACAGGGCACTGGCGACCATCTTAAATATAAACCAGTTATCAAGCATCCAAATTTTGATCTGGTGCACCATGAGGAGACGGCTGCAATGGTCATGTGAACGATGATCATAAATCACATTTTTCAGTGCTGTTTTTGAGCGGTCAGTAATGAAAGGTTGTTAAGTCAAGGATCACCCGTAAGCATCTTGTGTTGTGGGTCTGAGAGGAGAATCCAAATACGAATTTCAGTGGATGACGGCTTCTTTGCTCTCTACCTTCGACAGACTCTATGCGTGGAGATACAGCGGTACGGCTGGGCGCACCAGCAGCCTCAGCCCCTCGGGAACCGACTTCAGCACCAAGGATGCTGACAACGATCGATGCGCATGCAAGTGTGCCCAGATGGCAGGTGGAGGTAATGAGGGGAGAGGGGCCATCCTCCTTCTGTAGGTCCATCATTCTGAGAAGTAGCCAAGCAGGGACATCGGTTTAAAAAATGGCACCTGCCACACTGCAAAGCAGGACTGGATTGGCCTAGTTGCTTCTGATACATTCCCTCCCCTCCTGAACTGACCCTGAATTCAAAGAACTTTCTGAAGTTTTAGTGAGACAAACAAACCCTGAAAAGTGTAGAATCTCCCTAAGAGGTATGTTTAGGTTCAAATCCGAGTCACGGCACCAAGGAAAATAGGTTTGTACAGCTCAGAATCTGAATTAATCCATTGAAACTCTGAACACAAGGCTACTGAAATTCAGTTTTATTTTTGATCAAAAGCAAAACTGGGCTTCCCAAATCTCTTGCCTCAAAACAGCAAGGCAAGGCTTAAAATAGGCAGTTTATTCTGTTCTTAATACGAGTGGTTTTTAGTTGCTTCAGGTAGCTAAGATTAAGAGGGAATGGCCATAAGCTCACATTGAAGGAGCCAGGAGCCCGTTTTCAGATCTTAGGCCAATAGATTATCATTAGGCAGAAATCACTACCTGGTGCTAGGGTGCAAATCTCCCCCACTGTGTCTCAGATTATTGCCACTGCCTGGCTTTACGTACAACATGATGCTATAATTTGTTAATTCAGAGAAATACAGTAGCACCTTGGGTTGGGTTGGGTTGGTTGAGTTGAGTTTGGGTCATATATCAGCCTAAGGCTTAACCATGCTTTATATACCAGGGCTGTTAAGTTTGTACATCACTCTGCCAACTGCCAATTTGAATTTTTCAGCCCCCTGCAGATGCTGCTTCTGGAAGCCAAACTTAGGTACACTGTATCATGGCTTAGAGTAGTGTAAACATCCTGCTTGGGTCCTGTCTACCACTTGGAGGAACAAAGCAGCCACCATTCAGCAGATCATGAGGGGAAACGTGTTGTTGCAAATCTTTCCTCCTTGCCTTCAGAACGTGCTGCAGAACAGCTGGTCTAAAGAAGGCACCTCCTTGCAGTGGCTTGTTAGAAGAACCACTCTGACCACTCTTAGATAACAACTGGGTGGAAGGAGGCAGCAGGATGATGGATGGAGATAGTGTGAGAAGAAGGAATAGCACCTTCTCCCGTGTTAAGCAAAACCCATCTTTCTGCCCCAAACGCCACATCCTTGTGTCCAACCCGAACTCAGATAGCAGTTGAGAAGTAGCTTGAATTCCAGACCTTCTCACTGTTGTTCCACCAACTAATTTGGTGAAAACTCAGCACAGAATTTCCCATGCTAGATAGACCAGTCTTCCCGCCTTCAGTGAGGGCTGGGAATTGGGGCAATTGTAGTCCCACATGCCAAAGAATTGTGCTCGGTTGGGGAAGTCTGTTGCACCCAAAAACACCTGCCCATCAACCTATGTTTCCTAACCCCTATCGAGAGAGAGACTCAACGGGACAAATCAGTGATGTGATTCAAAACTTGCTTAATCCAAACTATTCTGCAAACATTTCTTAGACATTTGAGAGAACTATTTCTTTTGACGTTTGGGCCAAATCCTGTCGATCCTAAATATTTTTCCTTTTTCCCCCTTCTCTGCCTCTTCCAGGCTGGTGGTTTGATGCCTGTGGACCTTCTAACCTGAATGGCATCTATTACCCTCCCAATCCTGCCACAATCAGATACAATGGCATGAAGTGGCACTACTGGAAAGGGCCTGGACACAGCCTCAAAGAAAGCACCATGATGATCCGTCCCGTGGATTTCAGAGAGGAGCAAGAAGGGGTGCTGTGATCTGTCACATGGCAGAAGGAGAGGAGAAGGAGGCGCCCTTCTTGTTTCTACAAAATTGGTGGACAATTGCGAATCCTTGCATCATGAACAAAACCTCTTCTAGATATGTATATATTTAAAAAAAAATGTGTGGCATACACCTCACTGTGGAAATTTCACAGGAGATCTGGAAGGTGTTGCCTTTTTGTTGCTTTCATTGGGGGAAAACAATTAGTCTTGAGCTTCTCAACTTTATCAACTTGAAGAGGTATGGATGATTTCAACTCCCAGAATTCTAAGCTGGCTGAGGAATTCTGGGAGTTGAAGTCCATGTGTCTGAAAGTTGCTGAGTTGAGAAATGCAGAATTGGACAGTCAAAGAGAAGCAAATGCGTGTCATTAAAGGAAACAATCCTGGCCTTTGTATAATATTTGTTGCCCAAAGATTGCACTGTGATTCTGGGCTCTCCTGGAAGGGATCAGAAATACGTTTCGAATGAGAATTGCCTATCTTTGATGTAGGTAGAAAGACAAGGAACAAAACTGTAACACTCCATTGATAAAAAATATTTGGGGGGTGGGGGAGTTGACATCAGCAATGACATTCCTTGTCTCCCCGCCATTCTTTCTTCTGAACTCCTCAAGCATGAACCATGTGCTTCAGACAGCTGGCCTTTTAGTACCAGAATTCAGGAATTCCAAGAAATGGCAACTTGACGAACAAGGGTGGGGGGTGTTCATGTGTGTGCGTGTGTCTCTGTTCAATGCAGGTGTTTCTGTTAGGCCTGCGTGTCTATGATTCTCAGGGGAAACAGGTGCAGGTAGTCCTCAACATACAACCACAATTAGGATAAGAATTTCTATTACTCAGCAAGGCAGTCGTGAATTGCACCTGATTTTATGACCTTTTTTGCCACAATTGTGAAGTGGGTTGCTGCAGTCGTTCAGCAATTCCTGTGGTTATTAAGCAAATCTGACTTCCCTATTGACCTTGTTGGTCAGAAGTCAGCTGCGAGTGGTGATCTCACAATCCTAGATGTTGCAACCATTATAAAATACATGCCAAGCATCTGAATTTTGATCTTGTAACTATGGAGATGCTGCAGTGGTCATAAGTGTGAGGCCCAGTTGCAAGTCACTTTTTTCAGTGCCATTATTACAACCAATGATGGTTATGCAAATGGTTGTAAGTTGAGGGCTACCTATATGCAAATTAGCTACCAATTTTCTAGCATATTATATCTGCATCATTGCTCTCTTGGAGCCATTTGTTTACATATTAATTGCTGAGCTGAACTCATGAAACCTCTTGTGCAAAGTTTAATTGCAAATACTTAGGATATTTTCAATTTTTTTAAAAAAAATACTGGGATTACCGTATTATGGTTCAGAACTCTTAGACTTGGGACTGTTTTAAAATTCAAGTATTTTATCTACAATATGTTTTCATTTAAAAAAAAACTGTAAAAAGGAATTGAATAAAATAGTGGTCTGTCTTTTCATAAATATCACTGTGTTCTTGGGAGTGATTCAAGGGAAGGGAAGGGTGTGGAAGGAAAAAAGAGGTCAAAAGACACCCTGGGATGAACTACCCATAAACCTGGGCTGACATCAGAAAAGCTGATTGGAAAAGCCCTTACCACATGGATAGGGAGGCATTTCCATGAAAGGGGAAAAATATGGGGAAAAGGGAAAAATGAAATGGGAAACAACTTCCATATTGCTGCGAAGAAAACCAAATAGAAATGTCTATGTAATCACTAAGACCCGAATCTGTAGGTAGTCCTTGACTTACGATTGGAAACAGAATTTCCATTTTTAAGCAAGACGTTTTGTTAACTGAGTCACGCCCAATTTTTACAACATTTTTCATCATATTGTTAAGTCAAATGCTGCATCTGTTAAGTGAATCATGCAGTCATTAAGTGAATCCAGCTTTCCCCCACTGACTTTCCTTGCTAGAAGATGGTTGGGAAGGTTACAAATGGCAGTCATACGACCCTGGGATGCTGCCATGGTCGTAAGTGCCGTGGTGAGTTGTGTTCTGACCGAGGCTTCCCCCAAAACCCTTTATTAAACGAAGGTGAATTTCTTGGCTTCACCTTCAGCCAAAGGCCTGGGAAACAGTCTTTCAAGGGTCTAATTAGGAGCACAGACCTTATCTAGCTTGGAGAGCTGCCAAGCAAATAATTTCAAACGCAGTGCTGACAAGGAAGGGCTCGGCACAAGAGCCTCTGAGATGCACAGACAGCTCTTCACAGTGCTGCAACGAACAAACTGTTTCCTGCAAAAGCCTCCTCCCCTTTTGCTCCTCTTTTAATCCCTATGGGAGGGTCTATATATCGTCCACTTGTGGCTTTACTCCCACGTCGACCCTTAGTTCGTAATTGTTCTTTTCTTTTAGCAGCTCTGTGCATGTGCAGGTTGGGAACCGGCTCCAGCTGCTCCCCCGCCTCACTGCTGTCCAACTCTGAAGGCAGCTGGTAACTGCCAGGCTGCCCTGGCCCCGTCTCTGCTTCTGCCTCATCCGAGCCTTCCTCGGCCTCCAGGACTGGCCCATGTTCCTCCCCAACCTCCTCACTGTCTGACTCTGCTGCCAGCTCCGTTAGCCGCCAGTGGGCCACAAGCGGTCCCACTCAGCGTGTTGGCGATGGTGAGTTGGCTGTGGTGAATTGTCCCACAGCAAGTTGGCCACAGCAAGTAGTCCTAGACCCCCACAGGACCATCTTACTGTATAGACTGCTGATATTATACCATGAATGATACACATCTAAAAAGCAACTTGGTAAAAACTTCCTGAATACAAATTTTCCTAACTGAACTGATGCTTACTTCAAAGCTACTAGGTTTTTTTTTTTAATTATTTGGGGTGGAAAAGAAAAGATGGTATTTTAGAAATAGCAAAGAACGACACAAAGAACGACGCAGGACAGTTCAAACCAATGTACCTGCAAACCAATCAACCAATGAAGCGACTCGCAGGCTCTGTCAAAGAATTCAATCCCCCCTTCTTCACATTGGTACTTTCCATTTCCAAATGTGCAGGATTCTAATTCTCCTTCTCAGCCAGGGCATTGCTAGCCATGCAGGAAGGAAGTGAAAAAAATTTACAAGGTAACATCATATGAAAAAAAAAAGCCAACTTGAAAAAAATTGCCTTCTCTGATGCAAATCAGTCTGCAGTCTGAATAGAGTTATCTTTATTTCGGATTCAGACTGGCAGACAACCAGTTTCATCACCAAAATTAATTGGTGTAAATTATAGACATCCATGTTTATTTCACTTTGGGTCCTGGATCCAGTTTGTGGGCAGTGTGTGTGTGTGTGTGTGTGTGTGTGTGTGTTGCCTTTAGCACCTCTTACTGCTCCTGTGTGAATTTGTTCAGAGCTTCTCTGCTGATAGAAGGATTTAGAAGCTGGTTGCAGGTTCTCTGAGACATGGAATGAATCCAAGCTGATTGGTTGTGGGGATGCTTTGACTGTTCCTTTTTTATTGCTTTAGATACAGATAGTCCTCAACCTATGATTACAACTGAGCCCAAAATTTCCATTAACAAGCTAAACAATTGTTAAGTGAGTTGCCTCATTGAATGACCTTTCCTGCCCAAGTGCTCTGATGATGTTACCTAGTTTGGGTAATGAAACATCTGCATAAATACAACCAAACTCAGAGAGCACTGAGGAGCCTTCATTTCAACTCTGAGCCAGGGGTGGGATTCTACCAGTTCGCACCTATTTGCTAGAACCAGTTGTTAACATTCTAAGCAGTTTGGAGAACCGGTTGTTAGAAGAAATTACTGGCCTAATCCTGTAAAGGAAGGCAGGAAGGAAACATTCTGGTGTTGCTTACAGAAATTGCCTCTCTGTTAACCCTTATTACATTCTTGACAGGACTAGGCTTTCCAGCTCTGCCTGTGTCCAGTTTATGATCCCAGCAATAGTTTTCTGACCTTTTGTGTCTAATCTTTGCTGACCACATTTTTCACTTGCCCATGCTTGACATTGTCCAGCTGCAGTATGCCCAGGTATTTGTAGGCTTCAAGTTGGTGGCACTTGATGATTTGTCCATTGGGCATTTTGATTCCATCACTTTCTACAATCTTCCCTTTCTTCAGTGCCACTGTGGCACATTTGTCCAGGCCGAACTCCATGCTGATGTCAGTGCTGAAAATTCAAACTGTATTGGGCAGTGACTGGATTTCGATTTATAACTTCAGATCATCCATGTACAGCAGGTGAGAGATTTTCTGTAAATTTTTAGCAGTTTGATAACCTAGGTTAGTTTTCTGTAAAATTGTTGACAGGGAGGTCATGGGGATGAACAGCAGAGGTGACAAAAGATCACCCTGGAAAATGCCTCTTTTGATGTTGACCAGTCCGTAGCTTTCAGTTCCAATAAACAGTTCTGTTTTCATGTGCTTCATTGCATTTGCAGTGAAATGTACCAATGCACTTGCATATTCTGATGACATCCAGGCACTTGATGATCCAGCTGTGCAGTAGTGAATCAAATGCTTTCTTATGGTCAATCCAAGTTGTGTACAGATTTGTTTTCGGCTTTTGCAGTTCTCTAGAATCATTTTGTGGATCAGGAGCTGATCTTTTGAGCCTCTGCTTCTTTGTTTGTTTCCTTTCTGCTCTACTGGCAAGATGTTATTTGCTTCTAGGTAGTCCTGGATCCTGTCAGCTATGATGCTGGTCAGCAGCTTGAACATGGTTGGCAGACACGTTATTGGCCTGTAATTTGTAGGTGTTGCCCCTTTTACTGGATCCTTCTGTATCAGGTAGGTTTTCCCAGCTGTTAACCATTCACTGATGTTTCCTGTCTGCAGCATCTCATTGAATTGTTCGGCCATTTTTTTGTGCAGGCTGGTCAGGTATTTGAGCCAAAAGCCATGCAGCTGATCATTGCCAGGCAATGTCCAGTTCTTGACTTTTTTCACTCTGTTGCTTATCATCTCTAGTTATTTCCAGTTGGTCCATTTTGTTCTTGGAGAATTTCGTCTCAAAGTCTCTGATCCACCTAGCATTTTTGTTGTAGCATTTCTCAGTCTCCCACAGGTCTTTCCAAAACAGAGTAGTTGCCGTTTTCTCAGGTTTTTCAATATCCCCTGTCTGATTCAGACTCTGATAGAACCATTTTTGGTCTGATTGGAACAATTGATTTTGTTTGTACTGGATGACTCTGGCTTCGTATCTTTCAATTTTTCTTGCTGTTGTTGTTATCTGCTGCTTCACAATATCCAATGCTTCATCAATTTTTCTTGTGTTGAGCCCGTATTTTTTAATCAGATGTTTTTTGATCTTGCTGTTCTTCAGCTTTTTCTCCTGCAAATTCTTCAAGTTGCTGGCATCTGCTTGCAGGCTCTTGATTTTCAACTGCAACCTGATTTTCCACTGTGGTTTTCCAGTCAATTTTCTAGAGGGCTGCAGCGGTTGAATCCCCAGTTTTTCAGTTACTATGACTGCTGTGCTGTAGGCAATTTGCTTGTTCAATTGATATTATCTGGATTGCTGCAAGTGCATAATTCGCATCTATCATCAATGGTGCCAAATGTTTTCTAGGCACAGTCTTCAATGTTGGAAGCCTTCTTCTTTCTGCATTTGATGCAGCACGTGCCAAGATTTTAGCTTTCAGTTCTTGCTGCCTGACATTGAGTACTCTTGATGTTTCAATGATGACTTCAGGCCCTTGCTGTTCCTATTCTTGCAAAATATCTCAATTTTCTTTGAATTCAGACCGTTCAGTTGCTCCAGATGTTATTGGAGTATTTTCTGCTGCCACTTCAGCAGTCTGCTGTTCAGCAATCTGTGTTCCCATTTCACAATTTTTCCATATTTCTTCAAATTCGACTTCACTGAGCACTTTGTTCCGAGTGATAAATTGTTGCTGATCAGCTAATCGTAATTCAGTTATCCTTGATCTGGATATTCTTGTTTCCATAATTTGCACATCCTTTTTTGGTAGCCTCATTTTTCTGGTTCTGCTTTGTAGTAGCATTTCATTTCAGTGCGGTTCTCTGACATAGTGTATTTCTGCCGTTTTTCTTAGGTTGTTCAGCTTCCTGCAGGCCCATGCCCTGGTTGCTCAGCTATGGGACCCATGGCTTCTAGCCCACTTGTCAATGGATGCTCAGGTTCCCCAACACCAGACGCGGTCCTTGTTAACCCGGGCAACAACTAAAGCTGGTAGAGGCTTCGTTTGGTTGTGTTTCACCATGATTTATTGCATGGGTTATTGAGTGCACTCAGTTGTGCTCCTTGGCCGAGACCTCTCTGACATGGTTGGACCTGCTGGTAGTTTGCACTACCACCAGCACAGCTCTCAGCTTTATTGGAGCAGTTAAGACCCCCCCACATCAAGGCAGCACCCCGTGGGGGGGGGGTATTATTATTGTTATGCTTCAGTTTTTGACAGCTGTAATATTGTTATTGTTATTATTGTTGCTGTTATTATTATCTTTTATTCATTAAACATGAAACTCG